TCTAGGGGACTGAAGCACCCAAGTATAGAGTTAGGTGCCAAGTGAGGTTTCCAAAGCATGCAGATGCCAAACTCCCATGCATTTCAAAGCATTTATTCTCACATCCCTTATCAGCAGAATTCCTATTGACTGTTGGATGAACGCAGATTTGTCATGGATCTCGTCATTAAGGGTGCGTCTACACAGCAGTGTTTTTTCAGAATCAATGATGTTATTCCAAAATAACAATGCGAGTGGCTACCAAGGAATTCCGTTATTTCAAAATAATTTGAAATTAACGGACGGCTTGCTCCGACTTCTTAAACCTCACTCCAGAGGTAATAACGCCTATTTCGTAATAGCTATTTTGGAATAGCAGTAGTGTGGACGCTCCACTGCTGCTTCTTTGAAATAGCTCCTCCCCAGAGTCATTTAAATCCCCGAGCCTCCAAAGGCTCTAAATCGAGGTATAATGTCCACATTATGGGAGCCTGTCTAGAGCTAATTTTCAGGATTCCTGCAGTGTAGATGTGCAATTTCAAAATAAGCCATTTCGAAGTATTTGTTGTGGAATAGTTTTTTTCCAAAATAAGTGTGCAGTGTAGACATACCTTAAGGGTGCATCTGCATGGCACACACAGGTCGAAATAAGATATGTGATTTGAGCTATGAAAATTGCGTATCTTATTTCAGTCTAATTTTAAAATATCTTATTATGAAATTTGGCTCTCTCTATACAGTGTCAAATTAAAAAAAAATAGTGCTCCAAAACATCTTTTAACCCTGGTGGAACGAGGGTCACAGGGACGTTCAGAATAGCAAGGCCATTATTTCCAAATCTATTATAGTCTAGACGTACCCTTAGGAAACTATCCTAAATCCTGCCTGTAGGTTTTCCATCCATTCCTCAGTCTGTTGCAGTTCCCACTTGCAAGGTACCAGGATGAAATTAGGGTTTCTGTGCTCATCTGTCACACACACACAAACACACATACACACACTCTATCACACTCACATCCAGAGTGAAGCCTCTCTCTGTCCCACTTTCCCCTTACTCCTTCCAATAGGATGTGGTAGTGTAAGGCAGGTTGTCCATGCATCCATCTATCCATCCATCCATCTTTCATGGCACACACCTACTATGAGTGGCAGAATTATTGTGGGATCTAAGAAATGTGTTATGTATGTGACACAAATTTATTCCTTTAACTTCTTGGCCACTTGACTGCAGGAAACCCATGTTCGAGAGTGACCTGTGAAAGACACGGCACTGCTCAGGGGGTCCATAAGCAAATCTCTCTATGTCAAGAGTGCCCATTTGCTAATACCATGTGGGAAAGACACCCAGGTAACCCTCGTGGTACCCAGTTGCACATAAAACCAGTCCAATAGCACAACTGATTGGTGTTTACTGGGACACAGGCTGTCTGCTCTAATCTGTCAAGTCCCAGACTGTGCAGGGCTCAAGAACTCATAGGGGCCCAAGTAACACTGTGATTGACTGTGATGGTCAAAGTGGACATGAGGGTCTCTGCTTCCCCTCTGGCTGTAATGCAGCAGCTGTCACTAGATGGCCAGAGCACTAGCTAATTCAGGCAGATTTCCAGGTACAGCTGAACCAGCTGCTAGGGCCGGTTGTAAGTAGAGAGCAGTGTCCCAAGCTGATGTCTGTAGGATATTAAGTCCACTCTTCCCAAAAGAGGTTTGGGTCTGTATTGACCAGACGTGGCCAGGAGCTCTGGTTACAGCCCATCCCAAGAAAGAGCCGTCAGCACTGCAGCACCCTCCCTGCATGGGCCATGTTTGGACACTGATTCCCCTGGGTACTGAGCAGTTGAGTAAATAGCACCAGTGAAGAATGACTAATGCTCGGGGGGAAGCAGGGGCTGGAATCTGCCCGATGGGAGGCTGGAAGGAGACTGAACATCACCTCACAGAGCTCACTGCTCTAAGCAAACTGGTGACCCATGTGAGCATGGCCCCAGCCTAGCCCAGTGATGCTGTTGGGAGCTGCCAGGGTGCCAGTCCAAGCTGGGCTGGCTGCAGGCCCCGGGGGTTTGCATCCCGCTCTCATGCAGCCCGCTCTTGCCCAGTGATCCCCTGACAAACCGTGCAGCTGCCAGGGTGCCAGTCTAAGCAGGTCTGGCTGTAGGCCCCGTGGGTTTGCATCCCGCTCTCATGCAGCCCACTCTCACCCAGTGATCCCCTGACACAGCGTGCGCTGTGCACATATTTGTGTCGAAGCAGTTGTCCCCCCCAGGTGGATGGTGAGAGCCAGAGGGACCCGTGTTAGGGAAGAACAGGCCCAGCCTGGGAAATGGCTCCCCCATAACATCTCTCCCCCTCTCCTGATCTCCATGCTGTTGCAAATTTCTTGGCGTCACTTCTCATCAGCCTGTGTGAGACGCCACAAGTGAGACCCTCACTGGACAGAAATCCATGTTGGCTGCGGGAAGGGGAGTTTGTCTGGCTGGCTGACGAGGTGACTCTTGCAGTGAACACACCAGGTGCAAAAGGGACACAAGAAGTGAAGCTCCCCACACACAGCGATAGTCGAATGTTTTGGTTTTATTAATGACATAACAAGGCTGCATGGGAGACTAAAGCAGGGGGACTGGCCAGGGATTGCCGGGGGTGGGAGCAGAGGGGAACAGGGAACAAAGACAGGTGTCATGTGGATCAATAGAATCCCCCACCCCAGAAGAGGAATGAGATTTGCTGGAAATCAGCATCATGGCCACGCTAGGAGATCCTGTCTCCTCTGGGAGCCCCCGACAGGCTGACGTGGGCACCGGCTGCGCCCCCTGGGGTCAGAGGGTTACGAACACTCCAATCGCTTCAGAGACCTCTCAAGGGTCTTCCCATCGTGTGTCACCTGACAGGTGTAGGTGTCATGGGCCTTCCACTTGGATGCATCCAGAGACAGGTAACTGCTGGCCATGTACTTGTTGTCGCTCTGCTTGGACGGCCTGGTGGTCTCCACTCCCGTGGAGATCTGCTGGCCATCAGCTTTCCAGATCACTTGGACGGAGCCGGGGTAGAAGCTGCCCAGCAGACACACCAGGGTGGCTTTGTTCTTGGTTTGCAGCTCCTCCGAGGATGGAGGGAAGAGGTTCACGGTAGGAGATGCCTTTGGCTGCCCTGCAAGACAATGAGATCCCCTGTTAGAATGGACAAACCAGAGCCTGCCTGTTCCGAATATCAGAAATTCCTGTTCCTGACCATGTAACAAATCCCATCTCTCACAAGCCCTGAGACCAGGGGAATTGTCTGAGATGGGAGATCTCCTCAGGGTGAAGGCGGAGGCCTGGGTCTCAGGATCAGAAGGGTCTATTTCTGTCTATGCCACAGCCTCCCCTTGGGACTCTGGCTGAGTGAGTAGCTGTCTCTGTGCCTGTGAAAGGGGATAATATCACGCTACTCTTCCTTTCTGTCCCTTTTGTCAGTGACGGCTGGATCCTCTGTTCTTTGACACCCCTACGTCCCACTGACATAACAGCTTGGGGCCTGTAAGGGGGGCAGTGCTGGAGATAAAGAGAAAAGTCTTCGGGGTCATTTCTTAGGGTCCAAACTTTTCTTAAGGCTTGTCTACACTAGACGGTGATTCGAGGTCTGAGCGCTGTCCCATTGAACCTGGTACTCCACGAGGATGGAAGAGTAGCCAGAGTCAGTGGGAGAGCGGGCACTGTCGGCCTTCTGGGGTGGAAGACACCACTGTAAGTACACTGAGTTCATCTACACTTTTGGTGTGTTGTGTAGCCCTGGCCTTAGTGTGTAATGTGTGTGGTAGGGCAGTGGCAGCTACTGCAGAGAACACAGAGGAAACTGGCGTAACCCACATTTCCCTTTGTGGAAAACTGCTATACAATGAATTGCCAAAGAAAGGAAAAGGACCAAGGATGGGAAAAGGGTCTGCTCAGTCTGGCTCACACTGACTCCAGAAGGTACCTCTGCTGTGGCTCTGCATTTTAAATGGAGGAAGAGACAGACTGTCTGCAGAGCTGCACAGGAAGTACCTATTGTGTAGTCGATACAAATTGTATCATGTACACAATTAGCCAATTACCTGCTTTTTAACATCCTTAATAAGGAACTGCCAACTACATCGGTGTTTCCAGGATATTTATGGACACTCTTCCCAAGAGGGGTTTGGGTCTGTACTGACCAGAAGTGGCCAGGAGCTCTGGTTACAGCCTATTCCAACAGCCATTGGCACTACAGCTCCCTTCCTGCATGGGACTGATTCCCCTGGGTGCAGAGAGGTTCAGTAAATAGCCCCAGTGGCTCCAGTGCATCTCCCTGAAGAATGACTAATGCTTGGGGGGAAGCAGGGGCTGGAATCTGCCCCATGAGAGGCTGGAGGGTGACTGAACACTGCCTCACAGAGCACACTGCTCTAGGCAGGGCTGGTGACCCATGTGAGCATGGCCCTAGCCTAGCCCTGCGGTGCTGTTGGGAGCTGCCAGGGTGCCAGTCTAAGCAGGTCTGGCTGTAGGCCCCGTGGGTTTGCATCCCGCTCTCATGCAGCCCACTCTCGCCCAGCGATCCCCTGACACAGTGTACGCTGTGCAGAGATTTGTGCCACAGCAGCTGTCCCCCACAGGAGTCTGGTGATAGCAAGAGTGACCTGTGTTAGGGGAGAACAGGCCCAGCCTGGGAAATGGCCCCCCCGTAACGTCTCTCCCCCTCCCCCGATCTTCATGCTGTGGCACGTCGCTTGGCGTCACTTCTTATCAGCCTGTGTGAGACACCACAAGTGAGACCCTCACGGGACAGAAATCCATGTTGGCTGCGGGAAGGGGAGTTTGTCTGGCTGGCTGACGAGGTGACTCTTGCAGGGAACACACCAGGTGCAAAAGGGACACAAGAAGTGAAGCTCCCCACACACAGCGATAGTCGAATGTTTTGGTTTTATTAATGACATAACAAGGCTGCATGGGAGACTACAGCAGGGGGGACTGGCCAGGGATTGCCGGGGGTGGGAGCAGAGGGGAACAGGGAACAAAGACAGGTGTCGTGTGGATCAATAGAATCCCACCCGCAGAAGAGGAAGGAGATTTGCTGGAAATCAGCATCATGGCCACGCTAGGAGATCCCGTCTCCTCTGGGAGCCCCCGACGGGCTGACGTGGGTACCAGCTGCGCCCCCTGGGGTCAGAGGGTTACGAACACTCCGATCGCTTCAGGGACCTCTCCAGGGTCTTGCCATCGTGTGTCACCTGACAGGTGTAGGTATCAGAGGACGTCCACTTGGATGCATCCAGAGACAGGTAACTGCTGGCCATGTACTTGTTGTCGCTCTGCTTGGACGGCCTGGTGGTCTCCACTCCTGTGGAGATCTGCTGGCCATCAGCTTTCCAGGTCACTTGGACGGAGCCGGGGTAGAAGCTGCCCAGCAGACACACCAGGGTGGCTTTGTTCTTGGTTTGCAGCTCCTCCGAGGATGGAGGGAAGAGGTTCACGGTAGGAGATGCCTTTGGCTGCCCTGCAAGACAATGAGATCCCCTGTTAGAATGGACAAACCAGAGCCTGCCTGTTCCGAATATCAGAAATTCCTGTTCCTGACCATGTAACAAATCCCATCTCTCACAAGCCCTGAGACCAGGGGAATTGTCTGAGATGGGAGATCTCCTCAGGGTGAAGGCGGAGGCCTGGGTCTCAGGATCAGAAGGGTCTATTTCTGTCTATGCCACAGCCTCCCCTTGGGACTCTGGCTGAGTGAGTAGCTGTCTCTGTGCCTGTGAAAGGGGATAATATCACGCTACTCTTCCTTTCTGTCCCTTTTGTCAGTGACGGCTGGATCCTCTGTTCTTTGACACCCCTACGTCCCACTGACATAACAGCTTGGGGCCTGTAAGGGGGGCAGTGCTGGAGATAAAGAGAAAAGTCTTCGGGGTCATTTCTTAGGGTCCAAACTTTTCTTAAGGCTTGTCTACACTAGACGGTGATTCGAGGTCTGAGCGCTGTCCCATTGAACCTGGTACTCCACGAGGATGGAAGAGTAGCCAGAGTCAGTGGGAGAGCGGGCACTGTCGGCCTTCTGGGGTGGAAGACACCACTGTAAGTACACTGAGTTCATCTACACTTTTGGTGTGTTGTGTAGCCCTGGCCTTAGTGTGCAATGTGTGTGGTAGGGCAGTGGCAGCTACTGCAGAGAACACAGAGGAAACTGGCGTAACCCACATTTCCCTTTGTGGAAAACTGCTATACAATGAATTGCCAAAGAAAGGAAAAGGACCAAGGATGGGAAAAGGGTCTAGACACTTAGAATCATAGAATCATAGAGCCATAGAGCTGGAAGAGACCTCAGAAGGTCATCAAGTCCAGCCCTCTGCTCTAGGCAGGACCAATCCCAACTAAATCATCCCGGCCAGGGCTTTATCAAGCCGAGACTTAAACACCTCTAGGGATGGAGACTCCACTACTTTCCTAGGTAACCCATTCCAGTGCTTTCCCACCCTCCTAGCGAAAGAGTTTCCCCTAAGATTCAACCTCTCCCACCACAACTTGAGACCATTGCTCCTCATTCTGCCATTTGTCACTAATGTGAACAGCCTCTCTCCATCCTCTTTGGAACCTCCCTTCTGGAAGTTGAAGCCTGCTATCAAACCCCCCCTCACTCTTCGCTTCTGCAGACTAAACAGACCCAAATCCCTCAGCCTCTCTTGTAGATCATATGCTCCAGCCCCCTAATCATTTTGGTTGCCCTCCGCTGGACCCTCTCCAATGCGTCCACATCCTTTTTGTAGCGGGGGGCGTAGAAGTGGACACAATACTCCAGAAGAACTGGACACAATCCTGCAATACATGCTAGCATTATATGGAAATGAGTTTAAAATAGTATAGGACATTCAGAGAGAGAGAGAGAGAGAGAGAGAGAGAGAGAGAGAGAGAGAGACAGAGCTCTTGCAAAACAGTTCATGGCATTGCATGTTCATAAAGTTTCAAGATATAAAACCGTGCGAAGCAAGTCAATCAATTCATAGAGGAGCTATCATTGTCTATCACGTGCTGTAAGAATTTCTGCTAAGGGTGGATGAGCCTTTTATTGCACTGTGTTACCAGCCAGACACTGCTGTTGCTGAAATGTTCTGGGACCTACAAGCTGGAGCCAGTCTGTGTCAGAGATTTGCTGGAGCAGTGTCCAAGACAAGGGGAAAAGGGACATGGCCAGATTTCACCGTGAGCTCTGAGGTGATTCCTGAGCCTGGTGTTTGTCTCTGTTACTGCTCGGAGATGTGGGAGAAGAAAGGACCCACTGGGTCAGGAATGGGCGCATCAGGGGTTTTCAAATGCCTCAAACTTTGAAGCTCTAGATCCCTGGGCCCAATGTGAGAAACTCTTCCTCGCTGCAGGTCGCACGTCCCTCCCCAAGTGGTTGGTCCTGCCGTTGCAGGGCAAGGTGCCACTCGCACGAGTAGGGTCTGTGCAGCCTGGGCTGTGGTTAGTTTACACTTTCCATAGGTCACAGTGAGAAACAATGTTGGGTGAGCTGGCAGAGTCAGCCTTGAATTGCTGAGTGCTGGCTAGCCCAGATCTGCCTGCTCCCCAAGCTTTCACAGAAAAGATCTAATGGGTAGATATTGCCCACTCCCCTTTGCAGTTTTTTTTAGGGAAAGTTAGCGACTTTTATTCTTACCATGTCAGAACAAATGCCCTTTAGGTGTAAAACAAAGTAGCTCCCTGGGCAGCCATTACACAGACTTACACTTACAGCCCCTGATTGTAGTTACACTGACAGATTTACTCCTTACCCAGGGGACTGGTTCCATTTTACCTTGGATGATTGTAAAAGCGACGAGGAGTCCTGTGGCACCTTATAGACTAACTGAAGTGTAGGAGCATAAGCTTTCGTGGGCAAAGACCCACTTTGTCAGATGCATGCCTCTGACGAAGTGGGTCTTTGCCCACGAAAGCTTATGCTCCTACACTTCAGTTAGTCTATAAGGTGCCACAGGACTCCTCGTCGCTTTTACAATCATCCAAGGTAAAATGGAACCAGTCCCCTGGGTAAGGAGTAAATCTGTCAGTGTAACTACAATCAGGGGCTGTAAGTGTAAGTCTGTGTAATGGCTGCCCAGGGAGCTACTTTGTTTTACACCTAAAGGGCATTTGTTCTGACATGGTAAGAATAAAAGTCGCTAACTTTCCCTAAAAAAAACTGCAAAGGGGAGTGGGCCTACCCATTAGATCTTTTCTCAGCTAAAAATTCAAATGTTCGCAAAAAGTGTCTGCTGACGTGGACAAAAGTCTTTTGGCTAAGCAAAAACGGAAAACCAAATGCTGTCACCTAAAATCTGATTTCTCTTGTCCCCTGGCTTTTCAAAGAATTTTGTGGTTAAAATGTCTTAGTTTGGAGATTTGTGGTTTTAGATGAAATTTTTTTTAAATGAGTGTGGAAAATTTGTAAAAAATGTAATCCCCTACCATGATTTTGAATTTTCTCCAAACTGAACGGCCAAATCGGGTTTTATATTGCAAGAAACAAGTTATTTTCTATATCACATTAGGGCCGAAGGTATTGAATACCCATCTTAAAGAGTTATGGATGAGATTTTGTGTAGCATTATCAAAGACAATGGGTCTGTTTTGTTTTCCTTTGGCTGAGAATCTGGCCCTGGTTTCTTTCACATATGGGTCAAAACCCAAAGCTAGCAAGAAGTGCGTACTCCTCTAAAAGCAAAGCAAATTAAACAAACAAAGAAACAAAGAAACAAACAAACACAACAGAGAATGGGAAAATATTTCCCTTAAGAGGCTAATACCAATTACTTAGAAATTGGGACCTGACTGCATTGTCTGGATCAGTTTGAATGACAAATTAAAAAACCTGTCCACGTGGAATATTCTAGAAAATCTAGTATGGGACGTATACACCCTGTTCTGATGATCCACAGGTTATATATTGTTCTCAGCATGTTGTGAAAGTGTGTGAAGCAAGAGAAAGGAGACCCAAACCCGGCGATAAGGGAGAAAAGGGAGGAAAATCACGGAACCGTTACCTTGTAGGGTTGAGAAGGAAAGACAGTGAATAACGCAGTGACTTACCGAGGACGGTCAGTTGGGTTCCTCCTCCGAAGACATACCACAGTGACACATGGCTGTACAAAAACCTCTCACGTTGAATGGCAGGAGGAGACGCCTCCATTGCCCATGTTGGGAAAATAGATGCCGGATAATTTCTGCGTGGCTCTCCATGAGAGGGAAATTTCATTCTTTCTGGAGAAGCTCAAAGTAGAATTCAGAGAGTGAAGATCCCTTGGGAGGTGAAGCAATGCAGGGTTCCTTGTCAGACCTCATGTGGAGCTAACACGGATCCCCAAATGCAGCCTGAGCAAGGGAGTAGAAGATGGTTTTGCGCTGACAGCACAGGCTTGGGGGTCGGGAGATAGGGGTGCAGGATCTGGCGCATTGTGCTCCATCTCACATGGTGCAGGTGGTAGAAGGACTGTGGAGAATCTGTTGAACTAGGGTAGCTAAGCTGTTGGTCCTTCCATTGCCTATTTTCCTCACAGGTCCCTTAGCTGGGAGGGGCTGGCAGAATAGTTTGGGATGCTGAGAGCTAACATGCTGAGCCATGGGCAAACCAGGGGCAATTCCAGTGGCTTCTGGGAATTACACCAGAAGAGACTTAGGCCTGTTTGTATCCAATATCAGGTGTCACGTTGGCGCTAACGATGTGTGTGAAGTTTATGCCCACAGGGCGGGCTGGGGGAGCGCTGGCATCTCTAAAAGCAGAGTCGATGTGAAAACTGTCCTAGTGCAATGGGCCCTGCATGGGAGGGGATAGGAAACTGGCACCACGTGCTGTGCTCATGTCTCAGGCAGGCAAAGGAGCCTTCCCTGCACCTGTCCGTGAGAAACAACATCGTCTCTTGACGCATGGTCCTACCTTACGGGATCAGGTTCCCAGACAGTCCGTGGGGGAGGGGTTGCTCTGCTCCTGAAGAAGCTGCATCGTCGTGTCCTGTCTCACTCTCGGCTGGTGAAATCCCCGCACAGCCTGAGGAGCCGTGAAATGGTGCTCCTGGTCCATGTGCCGTGAAGCCAATCCCCACCATCCGCGTCTAGGACCCCAGCTGGGCGTGGGACTCAGGTGCCCCTGGCAGTCCCTCTGGGAGCCACGGTCCCGCATCTGGCCTGTGTTGGAACCTGCTCCGGAGCCTGTTAGTAACAATAAAAGGCGACACTGGTATCGATGTCCCAGGTGCAGCCAGGCCGGCACGTTCCTCACGGGAGCCCCCACTTGCCTTCAGAATTCCCATTGTGCCAGCAGCCACGGCCATCGGCTGCGCGCTGAGCAGCGGGTGCAGCAGGGAATCCCTGCGCTGTCTCCCTGAGCAGAGCTGACGTGAGACTCCCACCGTCGCTGGGCTGGTCCCTGCCCCTGCCCGTAGGGGAGCAGCACTGGGGCCTGCTGCCCAGCAGCGTGTGGCGTGTGAGGCCCTCTCAGCACAGGCCGGGCCAGTGAACGTCTAGGCTGTGAGCTGTGTCCATGCTCAGCTGGCTTCTTATGAATGAAGCCAGGGCCCTGGACCCTCCCTCTGACTGTCAATACCAACCCCCCTTAGCGCCGGTGGTGTCTCCGCACAGGCCGGCCTGGGGTGTGAATGGCACCAGCTTAATGTCCTCGTCGGTGGGCTGCCTCTGCCCCAATAGTCATGGGCTGTGTGTGAGGCTTGATGCGGCTCTTGCTGGAGCTGGTGGGGAAGCGCCTGTGACTGCAGTGGTTCTGGCTCGGACCCTGCGCTAATCCCCTGGGCAGTGGGAGGCCACGTCCCGTTCCCAGAAGTGACGTTAGCACTTGGGGCCAGAGTGTTTTCAAGCACCTGACTATAGAGGTGGGGGCCTGGTGGGATTTTCAGAAGCCCCCAGCTGCCCAATCCCCATTCATTTTGGTGCCTTTTACATTTAGACCCTTCACATTAATTCCTATTGACTGTGACTTGAGCGTAGACTATTAGTGGCGCTAGTCACTCTGGAAACTCCCCCTGCGCTGCACGAAGGTTTTCAGTCCATCTGACACTCTCTTGCACGTCCCTTTGCAAGGCCACAGGGCCAACCAATGCACATGGAGCAGGGAAAGTTAATTTCTTTCCAGAGCCTTTTTGTCAACAAGGGAGCGTAAAGAACTAGCACCCAGCCCTGCTATGAGGATGGTGAAGAAATGTATTTGGAGAAACCATCAGTCCTTAGTCCTAATCCATAGAGCAGCCTCACTACTCATCTTCCTCCTAGTCTCTTCTCTGGGAGGTGGCACCGCATGACTGGCCATCCATCCATCAGTCGATCCAACCCACCCTCCATCCATCAGTCGATCCAACCCTCCACCCAGCCGTCCCTGTAGCTATGGCACTGCTACTGTAGGCGGTATAAGATTGATGGTATCTATCATATAATTGGCCTGCGTGACACAAGTGCATCCTTTTTCTCCCTGGCCTCTTGGCTGCAGGGGAGCCAGTTTTTAAAGGTGTTCTTTGGCTAGTCCTTGTGGAAATGTCCGAGTGTAACAAGATCCAGCTGTGCACAGCGGGCATGCTTCTGGCTGGCAAGGGAGGGAAAGATGTCAGCGTGCCCATCACTGGATCCAGTCTCATTACTGATCCTCCAAGGAACCAATGGGAGTTCAACGGGACACTCAGCCTTGCTCTGGCCTGTCAAGGCCCAGACTGTGTCGCAGGGTAGAACTGTCAGGGGCCCCAGTGATCCCAGAGAATCTAGCTCATCTGTCACATTTTGGTTCTATGTGAAAAGCGTCCTTCATGTGGAGACCCCCAAAGACTTTCTGTGTTTACTGTGACAGTCAAAGTGGACATGAGCGTCACTGCTTCCCCTCTTCCCAAGAGGGGTTTGGGTCTGTACTGACCAGACGTGGCCAGGAACTCTGGTTACAGCGCATCCTAGGTAACAGTCGCCAGCACGGCAACCCCTTGCGAGGCCGGAGGGTGACTGAACACCTCCTCAGAGAGCTCACTGCTCTCGGCAGAGCTGGTGACCCCTGTGAACATGGCCCCAGCCTAGCCCTGCGGTGCTGTTGAGAGCTGCCATGATCCAAGTCCGAGCTGGTCTGGCTGCAGGCCCTGTGGGTTTGCGTCCCGCTCTCATGCAGCCCACTCTCGCCCGGTGATCCCCTCGAGGCCGGAGGGTGACTGAACACCTCCTCAGAGAGCTCACTGCTCTCGGCAGAGCTGGTGACCCCTGTGAACATGGCCCCAGCCTAGCCCTGCGGTGCTGTTGAGAGCTGCCATGATCCAAGTCCGAGCTGGTCTGGCTGCAGGCCCTGTGGGTTTGCGTCCCGCTCTCATGCAGCCCACTCTCGCCCGGTGATCCCCTGACACAGTGTATGCTGTGCACAGATTTGTGCCACAGCAGCTGTCACCCCCAGGGGTGGCTGAGAACCAGAGGGACCGGTGTTAGGGGAGAACAGGCCCAGCCTGGGAAATGGCCCCCCCGTAACGTCTCTCCCCCTCCCCCGATCTTCATGCTGTGGCACGTCGCTTGGCGTCACTTCTTATCAGCCTGTGTGAGACACCACAAGTGAGACCCTCACTGGACAGAAATCCATGTTGGCTGCGGGAAGGGGAGTTTGTCTGGCTGGCTGACGAGGTGACTCTTGCAGTGAACACACCAGGTGGAAAAGGGACACAAGAAGTGAAGCTCCCCACACACAGCGATAGTCGAATGTTTTGGTTTTATTAATGACATAACAAGGCTGCATGGGAGACTAAAGCAGGGGGACTGGCCAGGGATTGCCGGAGGTGGAAGCAGAGGGGAACAGGGAACAAAGACAGGTGTCTAATCCCACCCCCCAGAAGAGGAAGGAGACTTGCTGGAAATCAGCATCATGGCCACGCTAGGAGATCCCGTCTCCTCTGGGAGCCCCCGACGGGCTGACGTGGGCACCGGCTGCGCCCCCTGGGGTCAGAGGGTTACGAACACTCCGATCGCTTCAGGGACCTCTCCAGGGTCTTGCCATCGTGTGTCACCTGACAGGTGTAGGTCTCATGGGACGTCCACTTGGATGCATCCAGAGACAGGTAACTGCTGGCCATGTACTTGTTGTCGCTCTGCTTGGACGGCCTGGTGGTCTCCACTCCTGTGGAGATCTGCTGGCCATCAGCTTTCCAGGTCACTTGGACGGAGCCGGGGTAGAAGCTGCCCAGCAGACACACCAGGGTGGCTTTGTTCTTGGTTTGCAGCTCCTCCGAGGATGGAGGGAAGAGGTTCACGGTAGGAGATGCCTTTGGCTGCCCTGCAAGACAATGAGATCCCCTGTTAGAATGGACAAACCAGAGCCTGCCTGTTCCGAATATCAGAAATTCCTGTTCCTGACCATGTAACAGATCCCATCTCTCACAAACCCTGAGAGCAGAGGAATTGTCTGAGACGGGAGATCTCCTCAGGGTGAAAGAACAGGCCTGGGAATCAGGATTTTAGTAATCTATTCCTTGCTCTGTCACACGCTTCCTTTATGACCCTGAGTTAGTCACTTAGCTCTCTGCTTAAGAAAAGGGGGAGCACAGAGCACACTGAGCCAACTGCTGCAGGGTTTTCAATGCTTCCCACACCCTATATTGATAAAGTGCTGTGGTACACTTGGAGGAAGAGGATCTAAAAGTGTGACGTGTTTTCCATATTCTGTCAAAAGTCCCCTTTAAAAAATGCATTGTTCCTCACAGGAAAGGAAATACTCCTGACCACCTAAAAACCTCAACATTTTGCACATAATTTCTTAATATGAGGTGCCACATTTTAATGTGTGTCCTCACATTGAGGATCAGCTTTCTTCTCCAGTCATGCTGAGCAGTATAACTGTGAGATGTTTCCATGGTGAAAACACCCTCTTGCTTCACCAGAACAGAATCTCTGTAAATGGACCATTTTGCAGAAAGGTGTGTTTCCTACACATAAATATATTTTACTTTTCTGCATTAACCAGTCTCAATGCAAGGTTTGCCTGTATAAAAGTAAAGTAGAGGCTACAGGGTCAGGTTCTGTGTGTTTGTAAATCTGGAGCATGCACCTCTTGGTTTGTTTGCGCTTCCCTTTTGTTGTATTTCTTTCTGAATGTAATCTTGAAGGAGTTCATTGAGAATAGCTCATGCACCCATGACAGCAACTCCCTGCAAGGGAGATGCTGGGGAGAAGGCGAAGGGTTCATTGTTCGACTAAGGAGAAAAGCTATTTTGTACTAAATAGACTAAGCAATTGGGTTCCCATCTCGTTGCCCTGAACTTCTAGTGAGAGCCAGCAATTCCTTGCATGCTGAGGCTTTGTGGGCTGCTCGTCTAGTGGCCCAGAGGAATCTGGAGTTACCCATTGTTTGTAAAAATCTGAAAAGATACTTGGAAAGAAACCAATTGGATCTGAAGGAGAGGACAGGAGAGCTACATGCATCAAATAGTGTTGGATAGAAAGTTCTGTGCAGTCTGAGAGCAAGAGCAGCAAGAGAGAGGGAGTGTTTCTTTCTGAACCATCCTATGGAATTGCACAGCATGGAGAAATTCTCTCTTCTGAAAAGTGGGTTATTACAGCTACTGTAGAATTCTCATGGTCTACCTGGGTCTGTAGCTTTCCCTGGCAAGGGTCAGAGCTTTTGATTAACTCCTGCGTGAGAAAAAACTTCCTATCACACCATAGTTGCCTGATTCAGTTCCCAAACAGCCCAGTTACCAAGCAAAAATGTGATTGAATCATTTTCAGAAACTGTAAAGTACAGGCTCAGTTATGGGATCAACCCTTACTAAATAGTCCAATCTCGTGGGCCTCTGAGGGATTTCCAAGGTTGGGGTGCAAGATAAGAGCACCCCAAAGTACCGCAACTCGCCAGATTTCACGAGGAGTGCAAAATAGTTTACTCTGAGCCCTAACGTGCTCCTGGGCTACATAACTGCCTAGAAACAGGTAGCCTACTTGAAGAGCAAGGAGCTACTCAGCATGAGGAGGCTCAGTGCAGCCTGGGCTGCAGTTATTCCCCGGGTGAAAGTGACAATGTAGTCTGAGCTAGTCCAGCCAGCTCTGAATTACTGAGCCCTGGTAATTCTCTGCTTTGCAAGGTTTTACTGCACATGATGCCGGCTGGCCCAACATGAATCCTGATCAATGAGCTCAGAGCCTGGCAGACACAGAACGCGGTGTCCACAAAGCCACTCAGTCTTTGCAGA